AAATTGAATAATAAAATCTATGACTAAAACAGAACCTAAAACACATCATGTCTGTGATTGATGAATCTCCGTGGACCCCGGAAATGGAAAGCGAATGGGTCGAGTCCGATAGTGACCAGGAGACCATTTCTCCGGATATGCGAAGAATGCTGGAAAAGGAAACACGCATCAGGAAGAAACAGAAACTGTCAATTTGGGAAAAGGGGATGAGGAGAAAAAGGTGAACATCGACACCCAAATAGAAAGTAACGTAAGGGAAGCATTGATACGACTGCTGAAGGAATATATGGATGTGTTTGCTTGGTCTTACCACGACATGCCTGGGCTCGACACGACTATAGTGGAGCATAAATTACCATTAAAAGATGGGTTCCGACCTGTAAAGCAGAAACTCAGAAGAATCAAACCCGACTGGTCCTTAATGATAAAAGAGGAAGTTCAAAGGCAACTGGACGCCAATTTCCTTATAGTCTCTAAATACCCAGAATGGTTGGCCAACATAGTACCCGTCATCAAAAAGACCGGGAAGGTCAGGGTGTGTGTGGACTACAGGGACCTCAACCGAGCAAGTCCAAAGGACGACTTTCCCCTACCACATATAGACACACTAGTAGACCATACCGCTACCAACACGCTATACTCCTTCATGGACGGGTATGCGGGATACAACCAAATCAAGTTGGCCGTTGAGGATAGAGAAAAAACCTCCTTCATTACACCATGGGGCATCTTTTGCTATCGTGTAATGCCCTTCGGACTCAAGAATGCAGGGGCTACTTATCAAAGGGCTATGGTCACGCTGTTCCATGACATGATCCACAAGGAAATAGAGGTGTATGTGGATGACATGATTGTCAAGTCCAGGAATGAAATGGACCACATTCAATATCTCCGAAAACTTTTTGATCGACTTCGGAAGTATCAACTTAAGCTAAACTCGGCAAAATGTACTTTCGGAGTACGATCAGGAAAACTCCTAGGGTTCATTGTCAGCAAAAGAGGAATTGAGGTGGACCCCGACAAAACAAAGGCAATTCTGGAAATGCCTCCACCAAGCACAGAAAAGGAGGTCAGAGGTTTTCTAGGACGGATCAACTACATTGCCCGTTTCATCGCACAGTTGACGGATAAATGTATACCCATCTTTAAACTGTTGCGCAAAAACCAACCGACGGTGTGGAATGAAGAATGCCAACAAGCGTTCGATAAAATCAAAACATGTTTAACTAATCCGCCAGTATTGGTACCACCCGTTGAAGGGAGACCTCTCATCCTATATTTGTCAATACTGGAAGAGTCCATGGGATGTGTGCTCGGCCAACACGATGAAACCGGAAAAAAGGAATGAGCCATTTACGATCTCAGTAAGAAATATTTCAGATTATGAAACCCGTTATACACCATTCGAAAAAACCTGCTGCGCATTGGTGTGGGTCACTTAACGTCTCAGACAGTAGATGGCTCGACATACGACATGGTTGGTCTCCAAAATGGACCCAATCAAATACCTCTTTGAGAAGCCCATTTTAACTGGAAGAATAGCTAGGTGGCAGGTTCTCCTCTCAGAATTTGATATCATTCATGTCACCCAGAAAGCTATTAAAGGAAGTCCCCTAGCGGATTATCTAGCCCACGGATCAACAAATGAATATCAATCCTTACAAGATGACTTTCCTGACGAACATATCATGCATATCGAACACGAAGAGACCAAAGAAGAGGCATGGACCATGTTCTTCGATGGGGCCTCAAACATGCTTGGACACGGGATAGGAGCTATTTTGATATCCCCCAAAAAGAAACACATCCTTGTAACGGCCAGGCTTAATTTCGATTGCACCAACAACATGGCTGAGTACGAAGCATGTGCGCTAGGGATCCAAGCAGCTTTAGATCATGGGGTCACTAAGCTCAAAATATTCGGTGATTCATCCCTTGTCATCTACCAACTTAAAGGTGAATGGGAAACCCGCAACTCCAAACTAATCCCATATCTAGAACACATCCAAGGCTTAGTTTCAAGAATGGAAAGTGTTACCTTCCAATACATCCCTCGGGAAGACAATCAAATTGCAGACGCCCTTGCCACCCTATCATCCATGTTTGCCCTAGATCAAGAACATGAGATGCCAATTATTCAAGTCAAGTTGCATGACAAACAAGCTTTTTGCATGGCGGTAAATGGCGAGCGTGATCAAAACCCCTGGTACTATGACATCAAGCGGTACCTCATGAAGGGCGAATATCCTGAAGGAATCAGCGACAATGACAAGTGAACCATTCGCAAGAGGGCCGCAGGGTTCGCATTGATTGAAGGAACCCTCTACAAAAAGAGCCCGATTCCACTCTCTTAAGGTGTGTGGACCAAGAAGAAGCCCAAACCTTGATAAAAGAAATCCACAAAGGAGACTTTTGGAACCCACGCACCGGGCATGTCATGGCAAAGAAAATCCTTAGGGCGGGGTATTTTTGGTCCACGATGGAAGCCGATTGTCACCAATATGCCAAGAAGTGTCATAAGTGCCAAGTCTACGCCGACAATATTCATGTGCCGCCCGCACCTCTCAGTAACCTGGCTACACCATGGCCATTTTCTATGTGGGGCATGGATGTCATCGGACCCATCGAACCCAAAGCATCTAACGACCATCGCTTCATCTTGGTAGCAATCGACTACTTCACCAAGTGGGTTGAGGCGGCGTCATATGCGCATGTGACTCGGAAAGTGGTGACCACCTTCATCAAGAAAAACATTATATGTCGGTACAGCATCCCTCATAGGCTCATTACTGATAATGGGACCAACCTCAACAATAAAATGATGGAGGAATTATGCCAAGACTTTAAAATCCAACACCACAATTCCTCTCCGTACCGACCAAAGATGAACGGTGCAGTAGAGGCAGCCAATAAAAATATCAAGAAAATCATCCAAAAAATGGTAGTCACCTACAAAGATTGGCATGAGATGCTTCCCTTCGCCCTACATGGCTACCGAACGTCGGTACGAACCTCCACAGGAGCTACCCCTTTTTCCCTCGTATACGGAATGGAAGTCGTACTACCAGTAGAGGTCGAAATACCCTCCCTACGAGTTGTCATGGAAGCAAAGTTGACAGAAGCCGAATGGGTCCAAAATCGGTATGATCAGTTGAACCTAATCGAAGAAAAACGGCTGGACGCCATATGTCGGGGGCAGGCTTACCAAAAGAAAATCAAGAAAGCCTACGACAAGAAGGTCAATCCCCGCACCTTCCAAGAAGGAGATCTAGTAGTAAAGAAACTGCTTCCAGCCCAGAAAGACAAAATCGGGAAGTGGACAGCAAACTACGAAGGACCCTTTGTGGTCAGGCGAGCCTTCTCAGGAGGAGCCCTCATCCTCACCAACATGGATGGAGAAGAGCTCTGATATCCTGTCAACTCAGATGCGGTAAAGAAATACTACGCCTAAAAACATTGCTCATGACCCGTCAGGATGAAAACTCGCAAAGAGCGTCCTGGGCAAAAGATAGGGTCCACATTCCTCGCTAGGACACGTCCTAGGCAAA